ACAGTTGAAACTAGATAAATATGTTTAAAAATAATAATATAACGTGGGCAATAGGTAGGGGGGCTTAAGCCCGTTAGCCATTGTGGCTAGATATGTTTTTGTAATTTAATTTATATTTTCCATTGTTTAATTTAGGTATATACTTTGTACTTAGAAATTAGCATATCTAATTAAGATTTTACGTTTAATGATCACTTTTTCACTTTGGTTCATGAACCAAATAGGTACGGTTACCAAAAACAAAAAAATGGTACCTACACAGCTGTACCTAAATTCCTTAATYTAGCTTCCAAAATACTGTGTCCAGTAGAGAAAAATAAAAATTAAGGCAAATTATACTTGAAGAGTTACTAACAAACCCTGAACTACGCCCTTGAATATTAAAGTCAATACAATAAATCATGTCGACATTAACATAGGTATGCAAATAATATAGTTACAATAGTCGTTAATAGGTACTATGGTTGGCGGGTTACCGTATTTTGACCTTGTAGCATAGGTAGATGCGGTATACTTATTTTAGATCTTATAAAATCTTGTTCTTATTTTTCGACCAGTTTCTAATAAAAACAGTGTGCTGTTAGCAAGAGTTTAAAAATGTTCGTTTTAAAATATTCGTTGTTTACTTATTGTACCTATATTATTTTAACTTAACGAATCAATACGAAACATAGGGCATAGAAAATATTCAACGATTGATAATTAGGTACCTACCTATTTTATATAATAGCTGAGGACCGTAGGTTTTAAAAATACTTACTTTTTCAAGTAAGTTATTGTTTGTAAGACCCATATCTCCAGAAATTATTAGACTCAAGACTAGGGTTTAAGGTTTTACTTGCTATATAAGTATCTATAAATTGTTATTGTTATTACTATTATTTATTWGTGTAAAATGCATGTATTATAAATGTTATTATTTTTATTTATCTAAATAGATGARTTTTTATTTTTTATCAGATAACTTGCAACGATTTTCTATTTATCTGGGTAAGGGGTAAGATGTATAAGTCTCAACACTTATGGTTACTTTTACGGCTTTACTTGCTAATTAATATAAATTATAGGTACGCATATTTTAACCAAGTGACTATATAGTATATGCACTTATTATTTTCATACATCCATAATCAATACAACTATTAGGTACAAGTGTACAACTTAATGTTCAATACTAGGATTTTCGTAATGGTCAATGGGGTTGTTAACTATAATTTATAAACGTATACGTAATATATTAMATATTATACATACTAGTTACTACTTACAAACTAAAACTATTATTCTAATCAATTATTAAATTAATTAATACGTATACATTAAATGTCAGTGTATAATGATATATAATATGGTCCATAATAATAATAATAATAATTAGAAAAGTAAAAGATTTAAAAATAAATTTATTGTATCGTTTTTGATTTTATGATAATTTTTCYATAACTACCTCTGCAACTGCCATCAGTCTTCGCATTTKATATTTAAAGATCTTAATCCATTTAGTCTTAAGAGCTAACGATGTAACAGRTATAATGTTGCAAATGTTTGATGGAGCTTAAAAACATTTGGAACCGGTCTTTATATTGCTCTTATAAAGAGCGTCAAAAATACCTTTTCCTAGTTGCCCTATGCGCATACTACTGTTCAGTTTATCTAACGGAAGTTAAGACATTTATTTCTATCAATATCTGAATGTAGGTACCTACATGAGATATTGTGCAGATCTCACATTAAAAATGTGAAATAAAAAATCATGAACTCATTACCCACGCACTTAAATGTTTTAAGCACACCGCAATATTTCAATTAATATATTTTTATTATTTTTTCTAAACATAAYGAAACATTGAGTGGAAAGGGTTTAAACGGTAATTCGTCTACCATAATGGACTTTTACGTGAGCATTTACTTCGAATTATGTATATCTCCAAATACTTACCTGCCGAGAGTTTTGAACCATTGAAGGTTTGAATTAATGAAAGTCAACATGTATATGGACACGAGGACATGTTTATCTAGCTATATAAGCCTATATTGTCATAAGTTATAATTTATAATGTACTGCATTAGCTTTGCATATTATACTGCATAGTTGAATGCAGTATAATTATATAGTTTTTTTTTTCGTGATATCGAGTATAATTATATATTAGGTAATGTAATTTTTATTAATTAAATAATACTATATTTATAAGAAGTACCACATCATGCATTTTTTTAAACAAGTTTGTGAAATAAATAATTACATGGAAAAAATTAAAATTAAAAAAAGAATCTCATGCAACTAAAATACACAACAAATATTTAATTTTACTAAATAAAAATGATTTTATTAAGAGGACGCTACA